TCACAACTTATACAAATTAACTCAAAATGAATCATATACTTAAAATGTAAAATATAAAACTGCTAGAAAAAAAGAAAAAAATCTTGGAATCAAGGATTATGCAAAAAGTTCTTAGATATAATACCAAGAATATAATCTATAAAAGGAAAAAAATCAATAAACTGGACTTCGCCAAAACTAAAAACTTTTGCTCTATGTATGAAAGAACCTGTGAAGATTTTTAAAAAGGCCAGCTACTGGTTAGGCACAGTGGCTCACACCTACAATCTCAGTACTTAGGGAGGTCGAGGTAAGAGGATTGCTTGAGACCAAGAGTTCAAGACCAACCTGGGAAGCACAGCAAGACCCTGTTTCTACAAAAAAAATAATTAGCTGGGTGTGGTGGCACATGCCTGTAGTCCCAGCTACTTGGGAAGTTGAGGCAGAAGGATCACCTGAGCTCAGGAGGTTGAGGCTGCAGTGAACCGTGAGCGTGCCACTGCACTCTAGCCTGGGCAACAAAGTGAGACGCTGACTCAAAAAAAAAAAAATTCCAATTAGAACATCGGCAAAAGACATGAACAGATATACAGATATTTCCAAAAAGAGGATACACCAACAGCAAATAAGCACATGAAAAGATGTCAACACCATTAGCCATTAGGGAAATGCAAATTAAAAGCACAAGACTCCTATCAGAATGGCTAAGATAAAAAAAAAAAAATAAATAACAAGAATGGCTAAGATAAAAAAAAATAATGATAACAACAACTTCTAAGGTAGTGCAGGGAAAGTAGATTCCTCATATGTTGCTGGTACAGCAACCCTGGGGAAAAATTGGCTATTTCTTACAAAATGAAACATGCGTTTATCATACTATGCCAGAAAAATGAAAATATATATTCTCACAAAAACCTATACACAGATGTTCATAGCACCTTTATCAGTAACTGCTAAAAACTGGAAACAATCCAAATGTTATTCAATGGGTAAATGGTTAAACAAATTGTGACAGGTTCATACCATGGAATACTATGCAACAAAAGGAACAAACTATCAATACAGCAACAACTCGGACAGTTCTGAGTGAAAAAAGTCCATCTCAAAAAGTTATTTACTGTATGATTCCATTTATGATATTCTTGAAATAACAAAATTAGAGAGACAGAAAACATATTATTAACAGTCAGGGACTAGCAGAGGGGATGGGGTAGGTGTGGCTATAAAGAGGAAGCACAAGGAACCCTTCTGGCGATGAAGCAGTTCTGAATCTTGAGTGTGGTGGTAGTTACATGAATCTACATGTCATAAAATTGCATAGAACTATGCACATACACACACAAATACACAAATGAGTGCATACAAAAACTGGTGAAATACAAAGAAATTAAGGTAAAAAAAGGCTCTGTGGGTTGTACCAATACCAAAACAGATGAAAGATACAGGGAACTTCTCTGGACTTTTTCTAAGTTTCTGCGAATTTATAAGTATGTCCAAAAAATTCTTAACCAAAAAGATAAACTGGGTTGGAATGATAACTGTATATCTATACAAATTTACTAAAATTATCAAACTACATACCTTTACTATGAAGGAATTTGTGGCACACAAAATATACTCAAAAAAGCTTTTTTAAAAACACCATATTCAAACTCTGACCTATTTTCCCATTTGAAGCAAATACGTATACATAACAGGCTATTGAGCATAAAACTTTCAAGATTTCTTCAAAATCTTTCTATAGTTCATTTCTGATTTTAGCTGAACTATGTTCATTTTTCTTTAGAAAGTTTCTTGAAGCCGGGCTCGGTGGCTCAGCCTGTAATCCCACGCTGTTGGGAGGCTGAGGTGAGTGGATTGCCTAAGCCTGCGGGTTCGAGACCCACCTGGGCAGCAAGACCTCATCTCTACAATAAATCAAAAAATCAGCAGGGCATGGTAGCTCATGCCTATAATTCCAGCTACTTGCAAGGCTGAGGCGGAAGGATCGCCGGAGCCCAGCAGGTCGAGGCTGCGGTGGCCAGGAGCAGCCACTGCACTCCAGTCTGGGCGACAGAGTGACTCCGACTCAAAAAAAAAAAAAGAAAGAAAGTTTCTTGAAATACTGTATTAATGATTGCAACAACTTCCCTTTTATTATCATAGAAGTAGTAACTTTTCTAACAAATGAAAAATGTGGATAACAAAAAATTGGCAGTCCAAATTTCAGTTAGCTTATTGACTATGAGAGGTATATGCCATAAGAAAACAACATATGGAGAGAATGAAACTTTGAGTAAGCAATTGAAATGCCTGTTCCTCAAAGAGAATGCCATGTAACCCCACACATTATCTGTGGTCATTTCACACACTTAGAAAAGCCAGGTCAGCGCTAAAAAGCTCCTCCAGCAGATACTCTGTGATAAGCAATACATAACCTTAAAGTAATTGCATAGTCCTTCAAAAGTAATTCAACATTCTCCAACAGAGAGTTGTACCTACACCATGAAGCTGGAATCTTCTTCCTTCAGAGTTCAAAGGTTGCTACTGCCAGGACTCTTCCCTGGCCAGCCTTCCCACATCACAAGCAGCTATCAAGTTCCAACATACCTCTTCCACTGACCCAGTACAATCTCTGTGGACTAAACATCTCCAACGCAGCCAAAAACACCACCTTTCTTGTCCAGTAGCCTTTCTCTACCAGTTCAGGAGCTGCTGCTAACACAGCACCCTTTTTTGTGATTTTGATTACATACTTTATTTCTGACCTTTTCTTACATACTGGATTCAGAAACTTCTGCCTCTTCCTAATGATTTTCACCCATATGGGAGCACTTACTAGCGATAATCTAATTTAGGATCTAGTCCCTGGATTCTTTCCTTGTTCCTTAACTCTAAAATAAGCTTCCAGAGTCCTGCCTCATGATCTGTACATGCCTGGACAGAGAATTCAGAAAAGGCTACAGAAAAGGTAGCTGCCAGAATAGAAATGGCCTTGTTAGAACAAACTTGCAGGAGCATCCATCTTTATTAAACTGATGGGACTACTCAACAGGAAATTTAATTGAAAATAGAAAATCATTTAAGGTAAAATATTCCCACATTTTAACTAAGGTCATAGCACAATAAAACCCTGGTGCCATGGCCATTTCATCCTTCTATATTTGCATTTACTGGAATGGCTTGTTTTTAAGTATTACATCTAAATGCCAACAAAACTTTCATTTTTCTTATGCCTATAAATTTTAAAAGATCTAAAATTCTGCTCAATTTAAGCTTCAGCCTTAACAAAGCTACCTCAGCAATTTAAGGAAGGACTACACACCAATGGACCATATTTTTAACATTTATCAAATTCCTTCTTGCCTGTTTGTCAACTTCCTTCAGGTCCTGAAAGGTTTAAACCCAAACTAACAAGACTGCCATTTTAGTTTATTATTACAAAACTAAAACTCCAAGTATGTGATAATGCTTAACCTAACTCAGATTAAGAGTCAAATTCTAGCTGGGTTCGGTGGCTCAGCCTGTAATCCCGCGCCTTTGGGAGGCTGAGGTGAGTGGATTGCCTGAGCCCGCGGGTTCGAGACCCGCCTGGACAGCGAGACCTCATCTCTGCAAGAAATCAAAAAATCAGCTGGGCGTGGTAGCGCATGCCTGTAATTCCGGCTACTCGGAAGGTTGAGGCGGAAGGATCGCCGGAGCCCAGCAGGCGAGGCTGTGGTGGCCGGGAGTGGCCACTGTACTCCAGTCTGGGCAACAGAGTGAGACTCCAACTCAAAAAAAAAAAAAAAAAAGTCAAATTCTTTCCTAACTTTTTCTACTTGCTATTAAAATCTGTACAAAATCTACCAGTTTTGGAAAACCTCTACTGCAGCCTCCAACATTCAGAATCCCTTATGAGGAGGCAACATGAAACACAGCTCAGTACACAGTCAGTGTGACTTTGGACCAGCTCTTAGGCCTCCTATTAGTAGTACTTGCTGATACACCTGTGCTGGGAGAAGCATGTGCAATGTATAAATAGCTGCTTATACCTGCCAGCCACAGTAGACATTCAGTACGTAGTATCTGCTATTATTAGTACTATTATTGATTTATTATTCAAAATAAAAATGCACCCAAGCCCCAAATTTTACAAAAAGTGGCAGAATAGTTCTAGTTTTATAGAAGAGGAAATAATTTATATTATACAAAAAGTATAAATATGTAATTTTTAAGAAATACTATTAGTTTCTCCTAATACTAAAATAAAATTAGTTATTTCTAAACTATCAGTAAATAATTCCCAAATTAATTACAAATATTTCTGATTTAATATACCTGTCTCCAATTATAAGTCATTATGTGCATGACTTTTTTTTCCCTTGAGATTTTTATGTTTGTTCCCAACCAAAACTCATGTTGAAATTTGATCCCCAACATGGCAGTGTCAAGAGGTGGGCCTAGTGGGAGGTGTCTGTATCATGAGGGCAGGTCCCCCATGAATAGGTTAATACCCTTTTGGGGGTTGTGAGGGAAAAGGAGAGGGGTGAGTTCTCCTTATTATAAGAATGGATCTGTTTCCTCTGGCTTCCTCAGTTTTTCTCTCTTGCTTTCTCTCTCACCATGTGATCTCTTTGTACACTCCCACTCCCCTTCCATTTTCCACTATGAGTTGAAGCAGCCTCACCAGATGCAGCTGCTCAATCTTGAACCTTCCAGCCATCAGAATCTTGAGTCAAATACATTTATTTTCTTTATAAACTACCCAACTCCCGAGTATTTTGTTATAACACTACACAACAAACTAATACAATTATGAATAACTTTATGTTTTGAAGAAAACTTCTAAACATGAAAATTAAAAGGCATCAAGTGAATGATCCACATGTTAAACTGTTATAAAATCCAAGTGTTCACCTACCTTCCAACCCACTCAGAAGACATACACTTAAAAATACAATTTGTTGAGAATTAAGGGTAAAAATTTAAGACCCACTGCTTATTACAAGTGAAAGGTTGCACTTTCTGGCATGGGAAGAGCCCGCCCCCAAGCATGGTACCTTCTTTTCTCTCATGCTGTCAGCCTGCACGGTCTCCAGGCGGGCTTTAAAGTGCTCACAATCCATTTTCAGCTGCTCTAATTCTTGCTCTTTCCTTTCCAGGTCTAGAAGAAAGAAACATAAAAAATACTCAAGATACTTCAAATCACTACTCTCTCCTAAGCATCTATTTTGCCCTATCTTCTTAATAAAACCTGCACTGATTTCTTAGGTGGGTATACTTGCATTTCTGATTTCTAACCAGTCCTTAAATAACCAATATTTTAAAAGTCCTGTTTTTTAAGTTCTTATCAGGTTTTAACCCACAACAGAAAGGTCTTTTGGGGTTGTTTTCTGTTTTGTGTTTTTAAGAATTCACTTCACTGCTAGACTTGTACTCAAGGCTTGAAAAAAATGTGTTATTTAAAGGACTGAAGGCAGAGTTGAGAAGCCAACTGCCTCATGGCACAGACTTGTATCTACTCCTTAAGAAGCAGAAGGCAGTTCAGTGAGAAGATGGTGCCAGCACAGGCTGATTCACAGAGCTAGTCTCACCAACTGGCAGACTGACTCAATGGGAACAACTGCAATAGTAGTCACTGGAGGAGGGAAACAACAGTGTTCAAGACAACAAAATGCTATAGTGAAAGAGTGAGAACTACATAATACTTCCTCTCCACCAAATTCATTTAACTGATGAGTCAATGGCCAATAAAAATTCCAAAAGAAAACCATGTCAACAAATCAAGCAAAAGTATTATGAACTTTAAACAGAAAATATTATGTTGCAGGAATACTGACAAAATCCAATATGTAATTCAAATTTTTAAGTGTTTGATCTCATGAGCTAAAAAATCATCAGTTTTTATGCCAACATATACCAAGATATGAGGGTGCTAAGAGCTAACGATACAACTTATCTGATTAAAGTAGAAATGCTTTAAGTCAGTGATTTTCAGATAATTTGATAGAGTTTACTGGGCCCCAGGCATGATTTTCTGATTTGGTAGGTCTGAGGTGGGCCTGAAAATTTACACTTCTAACAAGTTCCCAGATGAGACTGCTTCTGCTTGTCTGAGAATGACACTGAAAACAACTGCCTCAGGGCACCAGCCTGGCCTCTCATCACTAACAAAATAAAATGAACACACAACGCACAACAAGCAACAACAAACAAGAGAACCCAGCCATAGTAATTTTTTGCTCTTTAGAGCAAAAAAATGGAGGTTAGTAGAAGGCAGCCTATGATGAATGAGTGAAAGCCTCAAAGAGCCAGACACCTGGAGAACAGAACATTCCACTCTAGAAGAGAAAAGGCTCACAGAAATAAAGTACAGACAAAAGAGAATGGGTGGGGCTTTAGAACCTAGGGGCCTAAGAGGCTAAGAGGAAGTCCAAATAAGAAACTTGTGAAGGCTGCCTAGAACCACATAAGTATCCCCAAACTCTGGAGGAAAAAATAAAGAGAATCTCTAAACTCTCTGGAGCTTCTGCCCTAGAAGGAAGATTACAACTGAAAGGTAAATATTTATACCAGCGAATGATTATAAAATTGGCTAGCAAAGCTACACTCAAAGTCTTTCTCAGAAATTAGGACAAAGTAACTTTATTTCTTCTCCCTTAAATCAGAGTTTGCTTTTATGCTCTTTTTTTTTTTTTTTTTTTTTTTTTTGAGTTGGAGTCTCATTCTGTCGCCCAGACTGGAATGCAGTGGCTGCTCCCAGCCACCACAGCCTCGACCTGCTGGGCTCCGGCGATCCTTCCGCCTCAGCCTTCTGAGTAGCCAGAATTACAGGCATGTGCTACCACGCCTGGCTGCTTTTTTGATTTATTGTAGAGATGAGGTCTCACCAAGTTGCTCAGGTGGGTCTCGAACCCGCGGGCTCAGGCAATCCACTCACCTCAGCCTCCCAAAGGCACGGTATTACAGGCTGAGCCACTGAGCCCGGCTCTTTTACGCTCTTTTAAGAAATAGCGTGCCACAACATAACTTTTCTTTTTTGGTTTGGAGTCTCGCTCTGCTGTCCAGGCTGGAGTGCAGTGACATGTTCACGGCCACCACAGTCCCGACCTGCCGGGTTCAGGCAACCCTTCCACTTCAGCCTTCCAAGTAGCTGGAACTACAGACACACACCACCACCACACACCAATTTTTAAAAAATTTATTGTAAAGAAGAGGTCCCATCAAGTTGCCCAGGCTGGTCTCCAACCCATGGGTTCAGGCAATCCTCTTGCCTCTGCCTCCCAAGGTGCTGGGATTACAGCCATGAGCCACCACACCGGACACAACACATGACTTTTACTGGAACTCTGTCTCGCTAATCCTGACCACCCAAGAAATCCTTTAACACTCAAGTGCCATGTGTATATACACATATACATACACATACATATATGCATGCACACACTATAATAAGAAGGTAAAAGTTAATATATGAAATATATACCATCTATGGTCACAGACAAAATTAAATAAAATGAAAAAAGAAACAAAGATGAAATCATCTGTGGTTTAAATTTTTTCCTTCACATCTAACTCTTAAATTTTGCTTCTATTATTATACTATAAATGACACAAACATGGTTAGGGCAATTGAAAATGACATCTTTACAAGACTTATCATGTGTAAAAGTCTGTCGAAATTTTGAGCATCCAAAAGACTCTCCTTCATTGTAGTAATTTCATAATCTCTTGCTCTTTATAGCTGGACATGATCTTAGTGTAAGTTATTATGCCAAAGGGACAGAGTTACAGCATCCCACTCTACAACAGGACCTAATTCCAGGTCCATAATCAGAGAGGCCATGCCCATCCACACCAGGTTCCCAAGGAGGTGGCAGGTGCCTTTCCTCTGTATGAGGCCGCCGCCTTGTGGCCTAACAGGTGCATTGCTACTGCCTCGTAACAAACCACCTCGCATTTTCAACATGGCCCACTATGTGCTACCTAAAACTACCGAGGACAGAGATTTTCATTTTTTTTTTATGCTATACCACAAATGCCTAGAAAAGTACATGGAACATAGTAGGCACTACATAAATATTTGTCACATGAATTTCACTTCTTTATACAAGTAGGGACCAAAAATAACCTGGAATTTATTAAAAATCGTGTATTTATTCTTACATGTTTAAGCTTCAGTCATCCTCAAAGTACTCTAAAGCAATACACCTATTGAGATACCTTTTTCATTGCTCAAGACAGTTTTTGAAATCATCAATTTTGATGCCTTATTTAGTACTTCTGCCATTTTTTGTTTCACCTCTTCCATATTGGCAAAAAGTCCCTTTAACGGCTTTTTTCATTGGGAGAAACAAAATAAGTCACTTGGGGCAAAATCGGGTGAACAGGGAGGATGGGGGAGGGGTCGTGTCATTTTTGGTCAAAAACTGCTGAACACTCAGTGCAGTATGGGCAGGTGTACTCATAAATCACATTATAAAATGGGCACATGTGTTAAAATAAACTCCAAAAAAATTTTCACTGAAGCTGAACACAGCCTCTCACAATGCTAGCTGGTATACTGATGCCAGTGAGTTCCCAGAACACTTACCTAATGGACAAAGTCTGTACTACAAGAGACCTGTCCTCTAAAAAAATAATTCTGGGTTTTTTTGGGTCCCCTCTCATACATGCCTCCCCTTAATCCTCAAACAGAGAAAAACACATGGCTACTTTGGTTATTAGTATGTCTCATTTTTGTATGAGAATATACTACTTTTGCAATTTTTTCAAATAATATGGACAATAAGAATAATACAAATAATATGGACAGTGAGAATAATACATTACACACAATCTAAATTATAGACCATCTCGACATTTTATGAAACTACAATTCTTTCTTTTTTTTTGAGTCGGAGTCTCACTCTGCCACCCAGGCTGGAGTGCAGTGGCATGCTCACGGCCATGGCAGCCTCGACCTACCAGGTAGGCTCAGGCAAATCCTTCCGTCTCGGTCTCCCAAGTAGCTGGGACTACAGGTGCGTGCCACCACACCAAGCTAATTTTTTGATTTATTGTAGTAACAAGGTCTCATCAAATTGCCCAGGCTGGTCTCAAATAGAACCTGTGGGCTCAGGCAATCCTCTCGCCTCCACCTCCCGAAGTGCTGGGATTACAGGCATGAGCCACCGTGCCTGGCTTACAATCATTTTTTGATATGGTTTTAATAACAGGAGAATGACTGTATTTCTTGAAGCTCAATCTATTCACAGGGAGGGTACAGAGAACTATATACAGGCAGATACAGAGAGCTGTACATGAAAAGCAAGGTTTCTAAAATACTAATCAAAGAAATTAAAATTATACAAAAGGGATCAATTTCTCCTACCATCTTCATCATTCTTCATCACTTAGTATGTTTATAATAAATCATTTCATGTTAGTATGAAAATATTTGTTTTTGATCAAGAAAGCTAAGCATCTCCAAATCAAAATACAAGCTTTTTAGTAGCCATTAACTTTTACCTTTTTGTAACTCTCTAGTAGGTTTAGAAAAGACTTTAGGATAAGTAACTAATAGATTCCACCTTTACTTTGAGTTGAGAGTTGGGTAGTATATTAGTAACTTGAGGCTGTGGCAACAAAGTACCACATACAAGGTAGCCTAGAACTACATAAAATGTATTGTCCCACAGGTCTTGAGGCTACATATTAAAAAATCAAGGTGTCAACAGAGCCACACTCGCTCTGAAATCTCTAAGAGAAGGTTTGCCTCTTCCAGCCTCTTCCAGCTTCTGGTAACCCCAAACACTCCCTTGGTTTGTGGCAGCCTAGTTCTAGCCTCTGCCTACACCTTCACACAGTCTTCTCATGTCTCTGTGCATGTGTGTCCAAATATGCCCTTTTTATAAGGACACCAGTCATACTGAATTAGGGCCCACCATAATGGCCTCATTTTAACTTCATTACCTCTGTAAAGACCCTATGTCCAAATAAGGTCATATTCCGAATAACTGGGGGCTAGATTTCTTTTTGAAAGGGACATACAACAAAAGTATTCCAGAACTTTCTGGTTTCCTGAACTTCCCACGTACATCACCATCAGCCCTATATGGGACCTGCAAAACTGAGTGCTTTCGTTGAGGCATTCCTAATCACATTGTTTTCCCAAAGCACACA